CGACGACCGCAGCCGCCCCGCGGCTCTCCTCCGCCGCCGCAGCCTCCTCGGCCACCGCCTCGAGCGCCCTGGAGAAGCGCATCGGCGGGGCCGCGCTCGCCGACCTGCGGAGCGTGGTCGCCATGGGCCTGCTGGGCACGCCCGACCGCCCGCTAAACCTCCACCTCCTTCCCGTCGAAGGCCTCGCGGGCTACCGCGGCCTGCCCTGCCCATCCCGCTGGCCTCGCGGCGCGCCCTGGCCGCCCTCGAGGGGCCCGCTGCTGCGGAACACCACGAGCCCGTCGCGCACGGCTCGCGCTGCTGCTGTCCGCACCGCGCCCACGCCGAACGCCTCCTCCGAGAGCGCCCGGTCGCCGCCGGTGGTCGCCGCCGGTGGTCGCCGCCGGTGGTCGCCGCGGCCGCCCTCAGACGCTTGGGGAGCCCCCGCCGCGGTCGGCGCCCTCTGGGCCGAAGCCTGCGCGGCGCGTGCCGCGGCGGGGCCAGCCTGGCCCGGCTCGCTCCTCGCCTGCGCCTCCGCGCGACCCGGGGTTGTCCGAAGCTGCCCGCGCGGCCCGACTTAGCGGGGGCACGCGCCTCGCCACACGGCGCGGGAGGAAGAAGCCCGCCTCGCTCCAGGCTCGTGCAAGCTTAGGCCAGGCTTGTCCCCCCACGGCGGGATGTTGGAGGGAATCTGAAGAATAGTTACAGAACAAAATCCAAAAATACTCGAAGATAGTCCAAACATCGTCCACATACTATGTTTTGGCTATTTTTTGATATTCCCCCTGTAGAGGGACAGGCCCGACTTTAAGTGCAAGCTCAGGGCGCCTCCTAGAGGTGACCCTCCGCGGAGCCTCGAACAACACGGGCACGGGAGCGGCATGGCGATCCGTGCGCCTCGGGGGCGCCTCGGGCGAAGCGCTACCGCGCTGGGGGAACCCATGGCTGCTCGATGCTCTATGTGTTGCTCATCTGAGGGGAAAAACAAACCTACATCGCTTTTGACCACCCTCGCTTCCAAGAGGTACCAAAGGATGCCAAACTACGGCCTGTACTGGTCAGGCCGCTTGACGAGGGGCCGCGTGGTATGACTTGGTTTTGCCTGGAAGCGAAAGCGGGGTAGGTAATTCACGCTCTGATCATCGGGCCATCTTGGGGGTGCTCCAGAGAGCCCCCACAAGATATTGTAAACCAGCTCTATCAACATCTCGTGCTGTCAAGAATGTCTCGGGCGAGAGCTCCATTTCGAGGATAGTGGAATTTCGCGAGCGATTTCAGCATCCAAATTCTTACAGGACCTCTCAAGCGAAACCTTTATTTAGTATGGGAAATCTGGCAGCAGCTTTTCAACATCCCATTTGTTCGAGGATGCTTCAGGCGAGAGCCCCAAGTTGGAAGATCTGGAGACTGCGCCAGCGACTTCAACATCCCCATGTTGTGGGGATGTCACGGAGTCCCAGGCGAAACTATGACGTTCAGCATAAGACGTCTTGAACGACAACCTCAGACATCACGATGACATCTCGATGTTGTGCTCTAGCGAAATGACCGCTCCGGGGAACCTCCCCGGACTACAACGGGAAGCGTCGCTTGCGCGTGCGATCGCGCGCGCGCATGGGCCTCCACCGAACACGCACGTGCGCAGGTGGGGCGCAGTCGCTGGGCTCCCCTGAGATGCCCAGGCGCTCGCCATGAGCAGCTTGCACTTGGTGGTTGCCTGCAGCTGCCTTTGGTCGGACGTTGCGCCTGGTCTGTGTGCATGCCTGTGCGTGCGCACGTGCACGTGTGCGCGTCCGCGCGCGTGTGCGCTCGGTGCTTTCGGTGCTGTGAGGCCTCGGCTGCCCGTTGCCGCACAAGCCTCTGGCAGCGCCAGCTCGCGGCGCTGCGGCGCGCACGAGTCGGCCCTCGAGCCGCCGTGCCGGAGGCTGCGCCCCGCGCGCGTGCTGTGAGTGCGCGTGCGGCCGTGTGTGCGGCTGTGTGCGGCTGCGTGCGTGCGCGTGTGCGCGCGTCTGTGCAGGGTGTGCGCCGAGGGGGCGGGAAGGGGGGTGGACGGCGTGCGTGCGGGCTTAGGGTGCCACATGCGAACCCTGCCCCCCCCCCCCCCACCCTCACCATCAGAAATCGTGGGGGGCAGGGGCAGGGTTCGCATGTGGCCCCCTATGTGTACGGGGCGGGCGGAGGGGGGGGGGATGCACGGTGTGCGTACGGGGTGTGTGCCTGCGGGCGGGGGTGAGTGTGCGGCGTGCGTACGGGGTGCGCGACGAGCTATAGCTGCATATTCAGCATACCCGTCTTACGCACAGCTCGTTCATCACCTCATTGTTTCGGGTGCCCCTCGCGACACAGTTTGCTAGTATTCCTCACTCAGCATGGCCTAATAAACACCCGTGACCTTCTCATCCCGAGAAGGCGCGTTCCGTCATCAAAAACGTCCGAAAACCACCAGCTCAACATGTCACTGCTTGAAAGATGTCCAAGACTGCCTCCGAAGTCGATCGCATGATGATGTCCCCAGCCAGAGCCTTACGTTTGAAAATACGCCGCGGTTCAGACACTTATACTTGTTTCTAGGATGTCTCGAGCGGGGGGCACATGGTCAACGTAACGCTGTATCTTTCAACAGAAAAGTTGTTGGAGGATGTCTCAGGCGAAACGGCCATTTACCGAGCGAAAAAAAAACAGACTTTGCACCCGCGAGCCAATTGGTCCTGCGTCTTAGTTCCTCATAGATTCCTTATTCAACATGGCCGAACAAACTCCCGTCACATTCTCGTTCCGAGAAGGCGCTCCCCATCATCCGCCCGGGGCTGACGACGGGGCGACCCCGAACCATTCCACTCTTGGACCTCCCCAATTGAAACATACTTCCCTCCGGCCTCCATAGAAACGTCAATCGCGCAACTCGTCGAGTCTGAGCGCGCGTCCGGTCATCCGCAAACGAACGATTTCGTACAGTCTGCCATAGTATATAGCTTGCTATCTTTCGATATCTTACATATTCAGCCAGAACGTTCAGCTCGGTTCTCGTTGCTCGAAGACGCTTTCTGTCATCCGCCGACCTCCGCTTGCCCGGGGGAGAGGCGTATGAAACAGTGGGCGTGTCCCATCCCACTCCCAAGGGGTCCAAAATCCAGTTTAAGGGGGGGGGGCGGAGGGCGTGGGGGGGCACGAGCTCGTCGACGCACTCGGGGCTCTCCAGAGCCTCTGCAGAGCCCCAGGGCGGCCCACGAGGGCCCAAACAGAGCGCCGAGGCAGCCCAAGAGAGTGTCGAGACGGCCCAAGGCAATCCCGCGACGGTCGAACATGGCGTCAAGACAGCCCACGAGGCCCCCAGGACGGCCCAAGAGTGCTCCCAGAGGACTGCCGAGAGGGCCACAAAACGCAACAATTGCTCTTTTCGTCTTGACAGCGTCCAATACGACCCAAGGGGCAACCAAGATCGTCCCAAGACAGCCCATGATGCCCTCAAGAGGGCCCGCAGACGGCCCAATAAAGTCCACAGACGGCGCAAGAGGGTTCTAAGACAGCTCCAGGGGCCCCTAAGACGGCCCTCGAGGGCCCCGAGAAAAGCCTAGGAAGAGCAATGCGAACTGATATCTCGAGCCTTTCCCCCCGTCATGGCCCCAGAAGCCCCCAGAGACCCCCGAGGCGCCCCCAAGAGGCCCTGAAGAGGCCTCCAAGAGGCCCCGAAGAGGCCCCCCAAAGGCCACCAAGAGGCCCCAAAAAGCCACCCTGATGCCCCCCAAAGCCCTCTAAGAGGCCCCTGAGAGACTTGCCAAAAGACCCTCATATCCATCCTATGGGGCCCTTCCACAAAGCTCCTAGCCAGCCCCATGAGACGACCGAGAGCCGACAAGAGGCTCCTCGAAGCCTCCTCCGGAGGCCTCCCAAAAGCCCCCAAGCAGCCTGGTGACAAACCGCAAGAGTCCCCTTGAACCCCTAAATGCATAATCCTTCCTCACTCCGACCTCCTCCTTACCACCTCCGCTCCTCCTCCTCCTCCTCGCCCTCCTCCTCCACTCTCGCAGGCGCGGAAAAAAAACACCCAGCCACTCCAGCTCCAACATAGCCTACCGAACGCCCTGGACGTCTCTACTCCGCTGGGGGTCGGCGGAATGGCGCAAGCTACCCGAATCATTGCAAAGAGGCTTGAACTCTCAGAGACGCAATGCGGCACAGGGCAATGACTCGATCCGGAACCACCGACAGCGGTATGTGCAAGCCTCGAACGACACCAAGTCCAAAGGCCGCGATCGCTGCACGCTCGAGCTAGTCTTACGCGAGCCCACACAAGGCTTACAACATCTAATTTAGCTGCGCTTCGTTGACCTCTGGCTCTCGAGAGCATGGGGAGGATGCGTAAGGAGAAACAGGAAAAGGAAGAGGAAGAAGGGAGGAGGAGGAGGAGGAGGAGGAGGAGGAGGAGGAGAAGGAAGAGAAGGAGGAGGACCTGGAGGAGGAGGAGGAGGAGGACGACGACGAGGGAGAGGGAGAAGAAAAGGAGAAGGGAGATGAGTAAGATGAGTAGTAATCATGATGAGAAAGACGACTTCAAATAATAATACTAACAATATGAAGCACAGGAAGAAGAAGGATGATAATGAGGGGGATGAGGAGCAGGAAAGAAGAGGAAGAGGAGAAGAACCTTGATAATAGGAGGAGGAGAAGAGAGAAGAGGAAGAGGAGGCGGAGAAGAACCTGGAGGAGGAGGAGAAGGAGGAAAGGGGAGAAGGTAAACGAGGAGAAGGATGAGGACAATGAGACGAAAGAGAAGGAAGAAGGAGAAAGGAGAAGGATGAGAAGAAGGAAGAGGAGGAAGCAACACGATGGGTGAGGAGGAGGAGAACCTGGGGAGGAGGGAAGAGGAGGAACCTGGGGAGGAGGGGGAGGAGGAGGAGAAAGAGGAAGGAGGGCCGCAGAGCCCGAACGATGCGCGCCACGCGCACGAGCCGCACGACCCGCAGCACGGAGGCGTTGGACAGCCAGGAGTCCTCCATGCTGCTCGTCAGGTACGCGACGACCTGCGGCCGACAGCACGATGGACACGACCCTCTTGACTACCTACCAGACCACCCTAACCCAGCCCGAAGACCCGAATTTCGGGTTGGGGGGGGGTAAGGGTTCCACATGTGGTTTTTCGATGCTTCCTAACCCCCCCCCCACTGGAAATCGAGGGTAAATCTGAGCCTTCGGGTTGGGTTGGGGTGGTCTGGTGGGTGGCGACCTCTGGCGACTCGACAAACAATCGCGCCGGACTCGTCTCGCAGTCCCTGCGTCAGACCACGTAAAGACGAACCTCCAGCCTTATGCTGTTCCCATCGTACTCAAGGACCACATCCCGGAAACAATTTCGTTCACCCAGCAGAGTGTCAAAAGAGTGTCGAAGGAGTGTCGAAACATTGTCGTGTGAGGACATTTGCGATAAGGGCGCCGTCCCACAGTTTCAATTACGGAGTGACTATCCGAGGTCAGCGCTCCGACGGAGTAACCTACATCATGTTCCTCCGCAACTCAAAAGTCGAAAACTTAGAGGACGAACGGCAACTGACGTCTGGTACGGCACTCATCGAATTCCGCGTTGAATGCAAGGGGCGAATCGATGCGGTCGTGGCTCGCTTCGAAATGGCCAGGCCAGAAGCTGACCCAGCCCGCTGCGCCATTCCCAATGTCCAGATCCTGACGATCATCCAACTTCGTGCCCTGGGTGTAGGCGCTTCCAGGGCCTCGCAGCTCCTGCAGCCCCTCAACCGCAAGATGCCTTGCAACCAACAAGAGCGCGACGAGTTTCTTGAGTGCGTGCGCAACTGTGGCCACTTAGCTGAACGCGCTCCAGTAAATAACGGAGGCATATTCAACGGGCACGGTAATTAAATGCGCAAGCGCATTCCACGCCATCACGGGTGATGCCCACGCCGGTGCATGGACACCTTCAAACGACAACATCTGGGGAACGCAAACCATTTCAGAACGTGAAGCGCTACTAGGCCAGGACAATGACGTAGCGCCAACAAGTGGCGTCACTGGGTCACAGCTGCCACGAGAGGCCTACACTCCGCCGCCAAACCCACCGTCCACCTTTGGGGAGAGGCTGGATAACGCGCGCCGCCCTTCGATTCTGGCACCGACTCCGACGCCGTCTCATTTAAAGGTATTGAAGCAGTGCCATGGACAAGCGTGACAGCGAATTTCTATGACGAGCAAACCGCTGAACATTTAATCCGAGGATATCAACGTTCCAAGCGTCGTTGGAGACGATTTGCTCAGATAACTATCGGACGCTTACGGAGCGCAGCGGGAAGAGTTTTCCACGGCGGGAGAAAGGGGCGTGGGTGAGGGTCGGAAAGGGGATTGCGCTGTCGTGGTGTTGCCTAGTTCCTCGCATCTCTTACTGACTACCAGTTTGGAGAAATATTCGCTGGCGGAGGAAAGGGTCAGGGACGCCGCAACACTTCTGGAAAAGGCGAGGGGCGAAAGATGAAATGGATCGAAGCGGGAACTGCGCGAAGTGCACCTCCTGCAGTGGCGCTGCCGATTTCCAGGCCCAGTGGTCACAAGGCGGGGGGGAAGGGGGGCGATTCCGTATTCTTGGCTCAGGACATACTGAGGACAAATATCGAAGTTGCCCATTTTCCCCCAAGTCCGACTCGCCCACGGCGGCATCGTCTTTAACTGATAGAGACTGACCGCAAGCGAACCAGCCTTGTGCGAAAAAAACCCCTAGCCAGCGCAGGGGACGCACTCGACCCGATCCCACGCACCGCGGGATGGGTCGTCGTCGTCCTCCTCTGCGCTGGCAATGGGAAAGCCTGAGAGGCCGTCCCACAAGGCCAGATCGGCCTGGAAAGCGGGCGGCGGAGAGCACTCCTGCCCCGTCCACCCCACCCCCACCCCCCCACTCCCAGTCCCGACCGTAGGAGAGAGAGCAGGCAGAGGCGGCAGTTCGGCCGACTCCAGCAGCCGTCGCTTCCGCAGCAAAATCGGAGGGCCCACAAACAAGCGGGACCGAAGCGGATGGCAACCTCGCATGAGGTTGCGAAGCCTGTAGTACCTCGAGTCTCTCACGGGGACGCCCTGCCTACGAAGCATCGGCAAGCATTCCTGCGACAGACCTTGGCTCTTCTTCTCCGAGAAAGCCCCGCACAGGGAGCAGAACAAGAAGGGCCCCGCACGGTGAAGGGCGTGGGAGCTGGTCCTGTCCTCGCACCGAAGCTGGCGAAGCACAGAGCGTGTCCTCGCAGACCGAAGGCACACCATGCAGCGGAACCTGTGCGCGACCAACGTCACCGCAGGGTCGAAACGCGAGTGCGGTTTCGGGGGACCAAGTCCCCCCTCAATCGTGCCTATGGCACGGCCAAGTATTTGCGCTTGAGCGTCAAGTGGCGTGATAGTGCCGATCCGAGCGACCAGCCTGGTGCAGAACTGAGCTACGAGGCGAATGGCGCTGCGCGATGCGCCATGCGCAGATCGCAGCTGGAGAGAATCGCCATGGACGGCGGCACCCCATTTAGCCGACTGATCAGCTTGGGCATTGCCGAACCGTTGCCACTCTGAAATCCGTCCCTCCGCTACGGCAGAGGCAGGAGTATGTGCTTTGACGTGAGAAACCTCCACCGACTCTCCCCCGCGGTCAGACACAAGCCTCCAAACCTCCCTCCATAGAAAGGCAAGCGGGTCGCTCGCAGCGGTGCCAGCTCCAATACCTTGGCGCCAGACATCCACGAGCGGCTTGCAATCCGTATAAAACTTCATCTGAGCCCCCATATACCGCAACGCCATCAAGAAACTGAAGAGCTCAGCCGCTGGCACCGATTGGATGAGACAGGGCAGAGGGCCATGCAGACGAGCGACCACGCGCTTGCTGTCGTCAAGCGAACAGAGTCCCCATCCGCAGCGACGCAAGCGAGCGAAACGTCCGTGCCTTCCCGACCCATCTCCGAACACGTGCACATCAAGTAGCAAGTCGGGAGACCGCACCGTCCACACGACTCGCTCCTCGAGGCAGGGGCTCGGGAAGAGCCAAGAGGGGTCAGGGACAAGAAAGCGCGTGAAAATCAAGGTATCCACCGCGGCAGCTCGAGCCATGTCCAGCATTTGACCAGCCATGGCACTGCCAGCTCTGTAGTCCCGACGAAACTCAGCATGCAGTGGGCAGTCGTAAAAACGGTGCCAGGTCGAGCCAGCACTCTGACAGGCAAGGCAGCTCGGGTTGACGGCTCCACCTGACTCGTACAGTCGCTCCTGCGACCAGAAACCTCCCGCAAACAGGCACCGCAGAAGTCCCTGATGTCGTGGGGTCCAGTCAGGGCCACGGATAGAATGAGGCTGGAGGAGAGACCTCAGGGGCTCCACGAGAGGAGGATGAGGGCAAGGCGAGACCCAAGACGGATGCTTCGCAAGAACTTGGCGCCACACCCACCGCTCGGTGGCCTCATCAGCTAGCCTACCCCCATCTTTCGGAGAAATCTGTTCAATGGATAGAGACCCTCGGTGGGTCTTCCAATGAAATGGGTCAGACACAGACCAATCCAAACGCAAAAGGGTCGCAACTAGCGCAGAAGCAGGTCCGCGAATGTCAGACCACACTTGAGACAAAGGAACTCTAGAAAGGCGAGCCCATGCTCCACTCAGAAGCCGCGCCATATCTGCTCTGGGGGCCCATCCGTCCCAAAGCGCCTGCAGCCAGAGGAAGATCGGGCTCCTGTTGCACTCGAAGGCGGGGTCGACCTGCGGCCCAGCAAGCATGAGGTCCAAGGAGAGCGACCTGCCCGTGTGCCTGTAGACCATGCCCGCGCGCGCCAGCTGCCTCGCCCTCAGCAGGTGCGTGTTACTGATGCCGTGAACTCCCACTGCCCAGAGCATACCAGGCTTGAGGCCAGTCTGCACCAGCTTGATCGTCTTGCCCCCAGCTTTAGCGAGACGCTTATACCGAGGGATCCGAGACGCCATCCTGCCCAGCCGCTGAGCTCGAACTGAATGAGATAGCCGATTTCCACCGCCAAAGTCCAGCCCCAGGTTCCGTACCGAGCGAGTGAGGAACTTCGACGAGGACGGGTTGACCTTCCGAAAAACCTTCCGAACGCCTTGGCCGATGACGACCTGGTGCTTCTTGGGCAGGGAGAGGGTCAGGCCGATCTGCGTAAGCTCAGCTGCCAGGAGGTCCTCGGCCCTTTTGAGTTCCCTGGCAACTTCCCACGCCTCGCCAACACGTTGCAACTGCAGATCATCCACCACGACCGCCACATCGACATTCACGAAGCGTAGAGAAACGGCATCCACTGGCGACAGGAGCACCAAACGCAGCAGGGAGGTCGCGCAGCTGCAGCCAGCGACTATCGTGCGGTGCGTCACCACCGGCTGCGTGGCGATCATCTCAAAGAGCACCATTCTGTCGAGGCAATAAGATGCGAGCAGGAACCGTAGGGTCTTACCTCGGAACTTGTGTCGACGGGCAGCAGCAGCTAAGACATGGTGGGGCACATGCTCATATGCTTTGACCAGGTCGAGCAGGGTTGTCCCTGCCGCTTTGCCCTGGTCCCTGGCCAGCTCCGCCTTGAAACTATGCTTCCAAACGCAAATGTCACACGAGGCCCCTGAGTCACCATACCAGAACACGCGAGGGTTGGCCTTTTCCCAGGGGCCAGCAACTTTCCATCGGGCCCAACGGGACCACAACCGAAGAGGCGTCGCGAAGATCCCAATAGGACGATCACCCCCTTCAGGCGGCGGCTTAGGTAGGAGGGCAATAAGCAGCAGAGCCCAGCACCTCGGAATGTGGACCAGGCGCTGCATCTCGACCCAGATCCGAAGGAAGACCGCGACAGCGCCGTCGTCGAGGAAGGACCAGTGACGAGGGTGCAGACCACAAACCCCGATGGCCGTGTGCGTGTTGTAGGTCCTGGTAAGGGCTAAGAGCTCCTCATGGGTGGGGGCCTCCAGTTCTGGCTCGTCATCGCACCAACTGAAATCAGGCTCTGGGAAAGCTTGGCCAACACCCCAATGTTGATGCCACTTTTGAGCCCGA